TGGAAAACATACGCATCTTTTTGCATAACCCTCTACCAATGTAAAAGAATAAAAAAGGGTAGGGAAAATTGATATAATAATAATGGGTGAATTTACATGGGTAAAATACGTCCCGCGTAGTTACTCGTGCACTGGGGAAAATCCTTCCACTTTAACTTAATGTGGGACTATTTTATATAAGCTGCTCCACATGTAGGAATGCTTTACAGCTCAACAAATTTGCTACACCACTAAGTGGAAATACGATTAGCAAACCCTTTATGCGTATGTGTCTTATATGGGCGCATGATCTACATCCACATGTTTGTCGCTGACGTACCAAATTGTGTACGTACGTTAGAGAAGGGGAAATTTTTGCTAACATGGCGTATAGCTATATGCCAAAACGTTTGCGCATGAATAATGTACGTACAGATCATGCGGGAAATTAAAAATTTATAAACGGAAATAAAAAAAACACGTAAAGATGTCAAAATGTTGCATTATGGCCTTTGCGCTTAAACAGCCTCGCAAAATTATTAAAATTGTAAAGAGTCAATTACCCAAAAATGGCATAAGAAAAAATAAAACAACAAAAAAAGGGCAAAAATCGCATATCTCATTATCAAATGTTGTGCAACTTGGGCGGTACAAAGGGGTCATAACTTCACTGTAAGAATGTTTTAAAATTTTCTTTTCCTCTTTTTCTTGTTATACTTTCTCAGTTCACGTATAACTGATTTCTGAAAGGAGAGAATTAGAAGAAAAAAAAAAAAAAAAAAATTTTAAATGAAGAGCTCAGGGAGCCCCCCACCAAAAAATAACATTTCCCTTAATGTGTAAAATTGATGGATGAATCGGCAACGCATAGGAGCATAATCTCCAAATGTACTAACACAACGGTGTAAACAAATTTACATAAACAGTTTTGTGCAAACTTATGTTGCGTATATATCTTCATGTACAACACACATTATGTAACTAAACGGGCGTGGCCCTTTCTTATCCTTTTTTTTTTTTTTTTACCTTCTTTGACAATTTTTTTAAAAAGGGGATTAACTTGTAAAGCTCCTTATCAGTTGGGTCGTCAAACCTAAGGGGAAAGGAATTCACCACAGCGCGTTTTGTAAATATATTAAGAATATGTACTTACAATGTAAATGCGCAAAATGGACACACCACTCATCGTACCAGCTTTTGATTAAGATGCAGTTGTCTTCGCAAAACTTATGGACGAAGGTTGAATTCTGAAAGGGGGAGGTGAAAGTCGGGGGTGG